GAGAGGTGACATTGGAGCCAAGTCTTCCAAGCACAGGGACAGCTAACACCGAGGCTATGATGCATGGACCAGCTTAAGGTGCTCATGTGGCTGGAGCATGATGAATGAGAGGAAGAGACACCCAAAGTGAGGCTGGAGAGGTGGACAAGGGACCCTTTACACAGAGTCTTGTGGGACACAGGATTTTATTCTTGGTAGGATGAGAAGCCATTGGAAGATTTTAGGGAGAGAAGTGACTCAATCTGATATACACTTCTAAGGGGTCACTCTGGCTACTGTATGGAAAATCGGTTGGGGGACAGGTGACAATGGACATAGGGAACCAAGTTAGGTTACTGCAATGTCCAGGAGAGGCAGGTGACTTGGATTAGAGAGCAGGAGTGGAAATGATTCTTCTGCAATGACCCCCTCTGCTGCCTTTCAGCAGCATTTGACCCCTTATTGCCCTTTCCCCCAGTCCTGATCACCTGAGGAACAGACGTGCTTTTGTCAATGTCCAGCACCCCCACGAGCCCAGGAACCCAAGGATGGGAGCCAGGCCTGGTTGAGCTCAGCACCACTAAGCACAGGGTAGGTGTGACCATGCTGAAGCTCCAAGGGTCAATCACTGAACCAGTGAAGGAATGAAGGAGAGGCACCCTCCACCACAGCCTCGCATCTGAAAGCACAAGGATATCAGTAACCAAAAAGAGAAAACTGGGCAGATTGCAGGTAGTTTCATGGAATTATATGAGGCAAAATGACAGAGCAGTTTCGAGGAACCAGGGCAGAGTGCAGCAACTATTGAGTCATCCCCATCGAGGTATTTATGTGGGTTGGGCTTTCTAGTCAGCACCAGGATATGGGGCCTCACACTTGCTCTGAGACTGGAGCCACCAAGGCAGGGAGGCCCTTGGCAGAGAATGTTGGTGCCACTGGTTCTGCAACCTGTGGGAGCAGAAATATCGGGATGGAGAAGGAAGGCAGCTAGATCTGAAGTAGGCCAGCCAGGAACCTGGGGTCCACCCTGCTGGAATGCTCAGGCTCAGAAAGACCTTCTACAGCAAGCAGGGGATTCAGGCTGGGACCAGGGAGAAGTGAGGTGGCCTTGCTGGTAGGGCCAAGAAATCTGTCTCTAGTGAGCCAGCCTTCCACCTGCCAGGCAACGCAGTGCAGTGAGAGGTAACCTGGCAGACTGAGCTGAGACAGCTCACTTGCATCTCAACTGCCAATTCCCAAACCACCCCTCTCTCTCTGCCCCTGGACCACTTCCCTAGCTCAGGCCTAGGTGATTAGGATAATGGAACAACCTCCTTATTGGGATAAAGGAACAACCTCCTTATCCTTGTCCAGCCTCCGTCCATCCAGTCTACTGTCCTCACTGCACTTGTGTGATCATTCGAGTTCCCCATTGCCCTTGAGACAGGATTCAAATTCCTGAACTGGCCCCGAAAGTCCATCCTGGTCTTGAGGCAGGAGGTAGTCAGGAAGGAAGCTCCCGAGGCCCCGCAGGGCTGAGGTAGAAAACATCTATACATGACAAAGACCCCCTAAGACGGGTTGTTCCTGCTTTCTGGGATAACTCTGAATCATAGAATGCGCCTGCGCGCTACCTCTGATTCATTATAATATCATTATAATGAAATAACATTGTGGGACTCCCTTCTCCAGTAGCCAATCAAGAAAGTCATGGGAAACCACGCATGCGCAGTAGCTTTGAAATCCAACTCCTTGTACCTGCGCAGGAAAAGCCCGCCAAAGACTAGCAGGGGGCTTCTGCCCCTATAAGAATAGAATCCCCCAGCCCACGTGCCCCTTTTTTTCCTCTGCTCAGAGCTGGCTCACTCCCGTGTCCTGTGGTATGTACTATCACTTAATAAACCTCCCCTCTTTCTTTATGCTATAAACTTTGTGTGTTCGGTTCAATTCTTTGTTCTCGATCACTAAGAACCTGGTTACCTGTGCACACCTGTGACAGTCTGGCCCCACCTACATCTTCACTGCTTTTCCTGTGCCCATTTAACATGTTTCCCTCTACCAAACTCAACCTGGCCTTTGGGCATACTGTTATTCCTTCTCCCTGGGATGTTCCCCATCCCCTATCTCAGCCTCTGGGACCTTTCTAGACTCAACAGAGGTCCTCTTCATTCAGAAAGCCTTCTCAGACCAATATCGTCCTTGGCCAGCCCTGTGAGCACTCTAACAGACTACCTTGTCTGGTGATCACCTCTGCAGGCCTGTGGATCCTTCTCCCCAACAGTACCAGCTCAGGATCAGCACTCCACTCCTTGTTCTTTTGTGCCCGGCCCTGTGCTGGCCACTAAGGACAAAGATACACAGTGGAGTCCCTGCCATCAAGGAGAACCAGTGCACTATGAAAGATAACCGCCCCCCCCCCCGCAACTTGCCCACACATACAGATGCCCAATACATGGGGCAGGCTGAAGGAAACAGGCCACCTACTCCAAGGCTCAGAGGAGGGAGGGAAAGCCTTCTGGAGAAAGCCCTCTTTCTGAGCAGGCCTCAAAGTATTTAAAGGTAGAGGAGCTGCAAGGGCATCCTCAGCAGATGGAAGAAGCAAAAAAAGGAAGAAGCAAAAGTGTTACAGGGTGCAGCCAAGAGGGGGAACCCCAAATGGGCATTTGAAATGGGGTCCAGAACTTAAGGTGTCCAGGAGATTTTAAGATGTCTCCATCCCCCCACCCAGGGTGGGGGTTGGGGGAAGGGACAAATGGAGCAAGGCCATTGAGATCTGTTTTCCATAGCAACAGCCTTGCAGCTACCCTCTGGTGTGGTCATTTAACATATCTATAGCCTTTGGCTGGTCGCTTAGATATGCTAAATAGCTGTGATCATCTCTGAGCCAGGGGAATGGAAGTAACTTCCCCACCAAGATGTGATTGGGGGCAGATCCCCCAAGCTACAGCACCTGCCTGCGTGGGAGCTCGGAGAAGATTGGCTCCAGGACACGGGGCCACACCTGCCCAGACTCATGATGGCAGCCCAGTAAAGCTGGAAGGATATGAATTCTGGCCTGTGAAGCCGAGTGTGGCAGGAGTCGGAAATGAGGCTGCAGAGGAAGATTGGCCGCGGGGATTTAAAACCCAGACTTGGCGGCCATTAGGAAGGAGAACCATGCTGCTTTAGGAAGGAGAACCGTGCTGCTTTAGGAAGGAGAGCCATGCGCAGCCCTGAGAGGAGAGAACCATGCTGCTTTAGGAAGGAGAGCCATGCGCAGCCCTGAGAGGGGAGAACCATGCGGCTTTAGCAGAATGGGGATGACCTCGGCCATTGAGAGGAGAACCATGCTGCTTTAGGAAGGAGAGCCATGCGCAGCCCTGAGAAGGAGAGCCATGCACAGCCCTGAGAAGGAGAACCACGGGGCTTTGACGGAGTGGAGGCTCCTGCATCCCAGAGAGAACCGTGCTGCTTTAGGAGAGAGAACCACGCGGCCTTGACAGAGTGGAGACTCACACAGCCCTGAGAGGGAGAACTACGAGGCCTGGACAGAGTGGGGACCCCCACAGCTTTAGAAGGGGAACCACCACCTGGTTTTAGCAGAGATCCCGGAGACTCAGCCGAGGGTGCCGGGAACCCAGGGAGGTCTCCCAGTCAAGATGGAGGACTAACTAAGAACCAGAGGACTGTCTGAGCCATGGACTTCGTTTTCCTTTCCTGAGATACGGTACTCTGGACTGGGCAAAGGGGGAAGGAAGGAAGGACTGTGTCTGTTTGTGGGTGTTTTAAGGGACTTTAGGATTTTTGATGAAGACATTAGGTCACTACTTGAAGCCTGTATAGCATTAAATAAACATTTCCTTTCCTTTTCACGAATCTCTGGCATTGAGAGATGTCTTTCCTCGGGCGGCAGACATAATGGACCCAGGACCTTCTTTCAATAATAGTATATTGTCCCAGGCCCCCCTTGTGTGTTCTGGAACAAAAGGGCAATGTCTCTAGCAAAGTAGTGTTGGGAACCGCCCTGACTGGTATCAGAAGCTGAAACCCCCACCTAGGCTAAAGCTAAGGGAATGCCCTTGGAACCGTGAGCCAGCAAGGAAACAAAAGCTTATCTTCCTGGCAGGAATGCTGCTTCTGCTGCTTTATTCATGACTGAACCCCAAAAAGCTTGGTCGGTTAGCCAAAGACGGGTAAGATTCCCCACGGGGGGGAACGACCTAAGACAGGCACGATCACTTTGGGAGGCCCCCCAAAAGAAGGACTTGGGGGGCTGCAGCAAAAGGGGGTGATGGACCCTCGCTCCTCGGCTTTGACATAGCCTGAGTTCTCAGCATCTGGGAAAAAAACCTCCTTGTCTCCCAGTTGCCTTAGTTCCCTTGCTCCACCTAAGCCTGAAACAATGACAGGGTGGTGCAGCTCTGTACTGAGAAGTGCAGATTCCCCGGGGTGATCAGGCCTAAGAAAAAACATGTAAATTACTGTGAAACCTTCTTTGTTTAGAATGCTCTCAGTTGAATGAGAAAGGTCTTAGGAGGAAGTTATTTTGTTCCTCAGTCTTACAGCTCTTTGAACCCCAACTCAATAGACCGGCAGAGTTCTTTGTTTTCTATGGTTCCTTACTTCCCCCTAATGAGTACTGTACTTTACCTGAATTATTATGCAGAATGAGCCTAATAAAAGCAGGTATGGACGGTAAATCAGCGCGCTCCCCACCAGGGTGGGTGGCCATTTTGTCCCTACTTCCCCACAGAAACTAGTCTGTCTCTGTGCATGTGTTGATTTTTCTCGCGTGTTTATCGTCGAGCCATCCACAGCATTCCATGGTCACTGCTGGCCGGTGACCCATGCGCAACAAAGTAGGACTCAGTCTATGGCGGGGTATGGGGAAGAGAAGGGTGAAGTGCTTGCTGGGTCTACAATGTCCACTCTGAGAAGCCTGTGTCCATCCTGCCTGTAATGGGAACCAAGGGAGGTCTGGGAGCAGGACACTGACATGGCTGGAGGCAGGCTCTAGAAGACCGAGTCTCCAACCCTCTGCCCTAACAATGATGGCCAGGAAGTGCAGAGGATAGAAACCATTTTTTGACTCTTGGTGGGCCTTTGCCCATGTTATACCTACTGGCTGCCACAAGTGGAGGGGTTCAGGGCAGAGACTGGGGGCCAGGCAGGGGAGCAAGGTCCAGACTCAGGGGGTCTTGGCTTCTTGGAGAGGTAAAGGGAAGGAAGCCTGTGCCCCCAGGTAAATATTTCCTTGAAGGCTGGCAGCTGTGCCCTGACTGGGCTGGGCACAGATTGAGTAGGTCTTCCAGAGCCAGCTGGGCAGCTGGGCAGGCAGCAGTCAGAATGGCTGCTTTTCAGGGGTCATCAGTTGCTCCACCTCCCGCATAAATCTCAGACACAACTCTTCTTGCCAGGGTAGAGCCACGCACTGCACAGCCACAGGAAGCCCCACACTCTTCTTCATGGCCTGCAAGGGACACAGGGATCAGGATGGGAGGTAGCGAGGCAGGATCCCAACCCGGGTCCAGAAAGCACCCCAGCTGGGGAGGAGGGGTAGCATAGCAGGGCTGGGCTGCAGCCTTTCGGGGTCTTGCATTAAAAGAAGAGAGGCAAAGACTCTGTGTGCTTATACTGTTTCCTCCACGGCAGCTAGAGTTAGGGTATAGGTGAGTCCAGGGGAAGAGAGACCCAGAGTTGGCCAGCCCAGTCCATGACCTCACCTTCCACAGCACCTTGTCCCAGATGTCTCCAAAGTAGCCCCTGTAATGTTCCATCTGGGCCTCATCCTCGATGGTCACTGTGGTGACAGGCACCACCCCCGCTGGGAAGTCCAGGCAGTTGTAGAGTATAGTGTAGCTGACGGCCCCTGAGACACAGCACAAGTGGCTGGAGCAGCTCAGTGACTTTCAATGCCAACTGTTCTGCCTGCACCTTAGCCTCCCACCCTGTGAAATGGCACCCGGTGGTCTCCACCGGGAGAGACAGGGAAAGGCTCTCTCCCAGGGCTGAGGCTTGAGTGAGTGACAAAGCCCCCACAAGGAATGTCGTTCCTATTTTCTTGGCTTATCTAAATCCCATCTGTACTTCAAATACCACCTCCCAAAACCACACACTCTGCAACTCAAGATCTCCAACTTGAATAGTGGGGAGGAAGGGAGCTCATTCCTTCCCAGGGCATCCCACAAAATTCCCACCTCTCCAGCCAGCCAGACTATGAGCCCCTCAAGAGCCAGGTTCTCCCCCAGGGGTCCTCTTCTATTTCCCAGAGGCCCCACCAGGCACAGGGCTGAACTCACAGAAGAGAAGGGATGGGTAGGGGTGTCGGGGCACAGTGGGGCAGCAGGCCTAACCTGAGGCATTGCCTGAGGCATTCAAGTCCATAGCAGGGCCCAGCATGGGGGTGAGCAGCACATCCAAGTCCAGTGCTCTCCACTGGGCAATCACAGAGTTGCGGTACACCTGGGAAGGGGACCAGCATAGGTGGAGCACTCAGACCCAGCCCCTCACATGAGCTCTTCAATACAGGCACTGTGTGGCTGGGGTGACTAGCCCCGGCACCTGCCCAGGGATCTAAACTGAGCCACAGCAAGATGGAGGTCCTTAGGGCACACAGGCATGGCTATTTTCAAGGGAAATCAATTTCTCCTCCTCCTCCATGAACTGTGGACACCATTCTTCCTGCCAGGATGGCAAAGAGGGGTAAAGAGGTGTCTAGAATAGGAGCTTCAAGCTGACCCAACCCCCAAGGATGTGAATTTGGGCAAGTGAGGGTCAGAGAGCAGGGCCCAAGCAGGCCAGGCCATGGAGGGGAAGAGGGAATGACAGGACATTCCAGGAGACCAGTGAGACCAGGGCCTAAGAGACTCTACTGGCAGGTGTCCTGTCCATGCACCCCCACACACACTCCACCCTAGTCTAGTCTACGAGCTCTGGCCTCACCTCAATCTCGTGATGCAGTTCCCAGAGCTTTCCAGTGGACCTGGCAGAGAGAATGAGGTCACCAGCTGTGATGGCCACAGCCACAGGGATTAGCAATATCAGAACCCTACTCTTAATGCCTCCCAGGTCTCTCTCCTGCAGGGACCCATCTCAACATTATAGGAGTTCTGTGAGGGAAGTAGTGCAGGGCAGAAGTTCAAATCCCTACTGTCCTGCTGAGAAAATGAAGGCCCAAAAAGGACTTAGGCTAGATCACTTAGTGACTCCACAGCAGACCAGGCCTGATTCCTAGCTACACTTAGCAGAAGACAGAGCTGTCAAAGGTCCTAAATGCCTGGTGATGGGAGAAGGAGCAAGTCCACAGGATGTCAGGGCCTGAAAATGGAGCAGCTTATGCCTTGCTTTTCCTGCTCAAAACACTAGGGGGCAGGAAAGACTCTGTGCAGCTCAGTTGGGTTCAGATCCCTAAGAGCAGCATCTCTCACAGGTACCCAGAATCCCCCTTCCCCTGCCCCACAGCAACTCCTTGCTGGGTCTTTCCATCCATGCCCAGCCAGGCCAATGTTCTCCTCTCCACCACCCCCAACCTATTCTCTCCCTCAGGCCCTTGCTTTCCAGCCAGAAACTTTGCTACAGGAACTTTGCTACAGGAACTTTAAGATCCCATCTGAAGGCCACAGAGGGACTGCATGATAGACTCTTTAATTCAGTATCTCCAACTTGAATAGTGTTGGGGACAAAGAGCTCCTGTCCTCAGTACTTAGTCAAGTTGGAAATATTGAGTAACAGACTTGCTACCCTGTCTGGGCCACTTCCAGCCTCAGAAGCTACTTCCCACCTCCTTTCCTGTCAGAAACCCAGGCCAGGGGAAGAGAGAGGCAGGTATCTGGGCTGGGAAATATTCTTACCGAGACTTCATGCCGCTGAGAAAGGCTGCCAACCTTGGAAGCTGCAGAAGGGCAGACACAGGGTCAGCGATCAGCTTTGGGCCAAGTGCTGACAAGTCTTCTGCAGGCCCACCCACCCATGCCTCCTCCCTCAGTGGATCCCCTCACATCTCAAGTTGACACCCCTTGTAGCATTCAGGCTGATTAAAGATTATAGGGAATGGGAGGAGGAGGAGAGGCGTCTGGATAGGAGCTGAAAAGAAGAGACCAAGCCTGCCCAAACTAAGAGAAGCTAAGGAGAAGGGGGAGGAGCCTCAGACACTCCCTCTCACACACCCCACCCCTTCCACTCCCTGTGCCCTCACCAGAGGCTTCAGCAGGAAAGCCAGCAGTCCTTTAAGCCACCTAGGCAGCTTCAGAGTCAATATCAGGTTCCCCAAGCAGGGGTCCACCAAATCGCCTTTGCTGGGAGACAAAGGGTCCATTCTAGGCATTCCCACCCCAGACATCCCTCCTGGCTTACCCCTACCCACTGCATCCCCCCCATTTTCTACTCAGCAACCCTTGTCTACCTCCCTCCTCACCAGACTCAGTAACCACTGGTCTCCGATCCCTTCATCTGCCTCCTTTCAAATGTGTGACTTGTTTCTGCTATTCCTTCAGGATGCCTGGGCTCTACCGGATCCCCAGTGGAACTCCCCAAGGCAGGACTCTATGTCGCATTCCCTGGCAAGCTCAGCTCAGAGCAATAAGGACCGAGGGCAACATTTTCCGGGCTAGGGCTTGATGCTGAGGGCACCCTGTTGATGACGCCAGCCTAGAGGCACCAGTGGGGCTGTCCAGAGTGGGCCACCTATGATGCTTGTCTGTGGGGCCGTCCTGGTTCTAGATCTCAGGGAAAGGTCTCAGGTAGCTGATCCTGAGTCTCCATCCCAGGGCTAGAGTGAGGGGTAGCACCTTCTGCTGAAGCCTAGACCATACTTGGCTCCTGGGGGAAGTCCAGTCAGCCCAAGCACATCACCATGAGGCACCTGCATAACTCTGTTCTCTGCCTCTGTCAATGTTTAAGGTCTGAAAACATTCAAGTAGAACCAGCTTCCCTCTCTAAATCTGAGCTCTGCTCTGCAAAGTCCCTTAAAGCAGGCCTGGTCCAAGCCATCAACTTTACACAAGAGAAAACTGAGACTCTGCTCGAAAGGGAAAGACATGCCCCAGGTCAGAGAGCCTTCAGTCACAGCATGATGTCTAGGCCCCGCCCCACCTGCTTGATCCTGCCCTTGTCTCTCAGTCTTTCCCAAACAGACAGGTAGCTCCCTGCCCATCTCCCACCTCCCAAATAGCTCAACTCAGGGCCAGGCCACAGATGCTCAATCCAGCCTCCCCTTGCACTGGCACCTGGTCTCCCTGGTAAGGTGTCTCCAGGTTTAACCTGCAGTTGGAGATGCAGTGTGACCCCTGCCCAGAATGCTTAGTCCTCCTTTGTGTTCAGCTGAGGCCTGTCCCCCATCTTTCCCCAGGTGGCCCGTCCTTGGGGGTCAAAGCACCCTGCTGCTCTCCCTGAGTCTACCCACATCCTGATCCCACCACAGAACCCAAAGCCCATCAGCACTCACAAGTTCTGTAGGAAGCTGCTGCCGCCATCGCTGAACATCCCACCTACCGACAGGGTCTCCAGAGCATAGGGTATGTTCCTTGGCAGGAAGGGAATCAGCTGCAGAGATTGAAAAGTGGAAGACTTCCAAACCTAGAAATCCTTGGGTGTCACCACCCCCATGCTGGCAAAGTGGCCCTGAGGATGGACTGGACCAACTCTGCCACAGAGTAGCTCTCACTGGAGCCACGAAGGTAGCCTTACTGGCCCAACTCCCTGGGGGCACACATAAACTTGCCTGAGATGAACAGACCAAAACCCACCGGCCAGCCATCTCAGAGCCCGGGGAATGTGTGGACAGAGGTGCACCACTGTTTGTGGCTGATGAAGCCCTCCCAGTGCCACGCCCACACATCCCTAGCACAGGCCAGTTTGCCATTAATCACTTACCCCAACACTCCTGATTAGCCCTCTTTATATTGATGCCACAGGGACACAGTTCCCATCCCCAACCACAAAACAATCAGGGTGCAAGGATACCAGGAAGGGATGGTGGCCATGGGCACCAGGAAGCCTTCCCTGAAAGAAAGGCCATGCCGGGACTTCTGGGCTCCCGCAGCCATACCGTGTGGCCGGCAGCCTCTAGTCTCTGCTTGGCCTCCAGCACAGCCCGCTTCATGGCTGGGGTGGGCATGGTATAGTTGTCTGTTTCATAATACCCCACACGCAGGGGCTGAGAGCTTGCATAGACCTGGGGACAAAACCCAAGAGCCAGAGTCAGGTCAGGAGCCAAGGCAAGGCTCCCAAAGATCAGATCTACTCAGCTGACACAGCTGCCAGGCTGTGGCCTGGATCCAATGAAAACTGCCAGGAGGGCCAGCCCCTTTTGCAATATACCCTTATGGAGGCTCCACAGGTAGGCAGAGCAATATGCAAATTCTCACATAAGGAAACTAAGACTTCAGATCTAGATAAGGAGATAGGCTCACAGTGGGGCTGAAACTGTACCGAGGCCACCCAACGCAGAGTGACAATACCGAGTTCGGGAATCCAGGCATCCTGTCTCCTGAGCCAGGCTCTACACTGCCCACTTCAAGAATACGAGTCCTGACTCCATGATAAATTGTTCCAGACCTCAGGATAAGGACCTCATTTCCACCTCTCCTCCCTTTCGGGGAAGGTGTCGTAAACCACTGGGTTCAGTTACAACATCCTTCTCTGCTGGGTGTTCTTGGGCTGGGGAGCTCACCCATCAGCCCAGATTTCCCACCTGCCAAGAAACACGGAAGCTCACTCTCCTGTCCAGGGCCCTCAGCCTCTCCACGGCAACCTGGGCTGGGTGAGGGACAAGTGCAGCTTACTGTACACATTAACATGACCTTACTATCCACCATCTACATCCATTTAACTTGACTACTCCTGAATGTTTTGTACATAAAGTACAAATAATGTTATTTTTCATTTTTAAAAACCCTGTTGACTCTTTCAATAGAAGTATCAAATGAGTTTATACTCTAAGACTCCTTAATTCCCTCACCTCAAAAATCCTCACCTGGCTGTGTCCACCAATCCTAAACTATTATTACATCATGATCCCTATAAATCCCTATGCTTAAATGCCAGCCTTAAACCGGACTTTAAAATCTCAACGAACATCCCTACTTTGCCCACCACTCCACCCATCCTCCACCACCACCCCTCCCCTACCCGTCCTGTTGCTACTAAGGTTGTGTTGAGATAGTATTCTCCCTCACCACAGAAATTAATGAACTCAGCTTGGTCTGATCAACAGGCTGTTTTGGCGGTATCTGGGGGAGCCAGCATGCAACGCAGCCCACAGATCCCAGCTTTGTCTGGCAAGAAGACAGCTTTGCCTTTAACTGTCCTTAACTCACTTAGCCTACGTGCCAAGCATCACAGTGAGGGTTGGGGATATGGACACAAATACTGAAGAAAGGCTCCCATTTGCTGAGGGTCATACAGAGCAGGTACAGGAGTTCTGTCTCGAGTTGTTCTCGGTGCTGGGAAGCCATTTCTCAGTGACAGCAGCAGAGGCTGGAGCTAGAAGGCAGAGCTTGTCCTCAGCAGAGGCTCCTAGCTGCCAATTTGAAGTTTCTAAATGCAGGTAAGGGTTCCATCTGGTGGCTATCTTGGAAGCAGCAGCTGATCCTGCTCTCAAACAGCTCGCTGAGGGTGGTTTTCAGGAGACAGGACCTCCACGGCCTGCCCCTCCTGCCTGGGGGCTGCTCTCTGGGCTCCAGTGGTACTGAACCCACTCCCATGCCCACCCCTATCCCTGCTCACCTCCTCCTTGAAGGGCAGTGGGGGCACGGTGGGGTCCAAGCGGAACATGTCCTCACACAGCAGTGCTCGCAGGCACAGTGCCAGGCTCTCCACGTCCCGGGCCATGGGGCCAACTGAGACCTGTACTGTCAGGTGGGGAGGGGAGGGAAGAGAGATCACTTGGCCCCAATGGGCTCTGGGGTAATGTCCAAGTAAGGGCTGGGCCAAGGAGTGTGGGCAGAGACAAGGAGGTAGGAACTCAGACCTAGAGTGGACGGGGTGGGGGGGGTGGGGGGCAGCAAACTCTGCCCCCAGGAGAGGCAGGGGCAGAAGTGGACCAGGCAGAACCCCTCCTCCTCCTCCCCGCCCAGAGAAGTAAGGAAACCGCAGACCTCACCTGCCAGCTGTCCGTAGATACAGCCCTTCAGGCCAATCTTGCTGGATAAGAAACACAAAATGTTGGAAACAGGAAAGAGCCAACCTCCACCCCACTCCACACCCATTCAGCAACTCAGAATTCTTACCACTTGGAACCAGGAACCAGGACCAGTGGTGCTGTGACACTCCCTCCCAGAAAAACCCCAGTGAGAGAACTCTTGCCTGCAGCCCAGAGAAGTGGGAAGCTAAGCCAAGGTCACACAGCAAGGGTCCCAGACGCTTCCTCCACCACTTCCTACACCATACCTGAGGCGGTTCGCTGTGGGCTTGAGGCCGCAGATGCCACAGAAGGAGGAGGGAAAGCGGATGCTGCCCCCGATGTCAGTGCCTAAGCCCAGGAGGGAGCCTCCCGCGGCAATGAGGGCCCCTTCACCCCCCGAGGAGCCACCTGGGCTCTTGCGGCAGTTCCATGGGTTTGTGGTCTGGCCGAAGAGGGGATTGCTGCAGTCATAGCTGGGGGAAGCAGGAATGGGTCAGCCATGCCACACTGGCACAGGTGACCCTGCCTTCACCCCATACCGGAGACCCAACCTGAGCATGGACTGGGGGACGTTGGTGTGCACAAAGGGCACAGCGCCCTGCAGCTTCAGCACCTGCACCACCACGCTGTCACACTCTGCTGGCACCCCCTCATTCACGCTCAAGCCCAGGGTCGAGTCCTGGCCCTAGAAGAAAAGATGGGCATCCAGAGGGACATGGCTGATGAGTCAGGGCCCTTCAGCAGCCCAGGGTCCTTTCCCACTACCCTCTCACACGCCAAGGCAAGGCACACCACAGTGCCCATGCAAGGCCTCTGGACCTGACACTTCCTGAGGGCCCAGGGTAAACCAGGCCACAGAGCTGGCTGGCAGGAATGAGGGAAGTTGAGTCCTGATACCGAGGCAGGGCACACCTGGTAGCTGAAGCACTCCTTGAGGCTCACAGGGACACCATAGAGCAGGCCCTGCCTTGGGGCCTGGGACAGCTGAGTCTCACAGTCTGCCAGGTAGTTGGTCACACAGTTTGTCCCTTTGTTCACTTCCCAGGCCTAGGAGAGGGAGAAATGGACACAGGCAGAGTGAGGCTGGCCTTTAAAAAAAAAAACAAATTGTGGTAAAATATACATAACATAAAATTGGCCTTTTAAAGTATACCCAGGGAAAAGGTAGTCAGCAATATGGCCCAGAGCACAGCAGATAATCTAGGACCCAGCACCCACCTCACCGGGGAATTTGGCCCCAGCCACACCCTGGCTGTCTCTGGTCTTCAACCCCAAGATGAAGAGAGAGAGAGAGAGAGTAGTCCCAGGGCCAGGGCACAATCAGGGCACTCAAGGGAGCAAGGTACTGGCATCAGAAGCTCTCAAAGGGAATGAGTTGGGAGGAGAATGACTCTTGGTCACTCCCCTTCCTCTTTAAGCCACACCTCTGCCCAGTGAGGCAGACAGGAATCAGACAGGGGCAGATCCCCATCTGGGACCACACTCAGAGTCAGCACCAAGCAGGGTGAGACCTAGGCCCCAGCCTCCCAGAGCCCAGCCCACTCTCGTTTATCCCAGACCTGGCCCACATCTGCCCCAGGAACTGTGCTCTCTCCCAGGAACTGGATAATCAAGTCACATGGAGGAATGACTAACTCATAATAAAGGGGTTGGGAGCTTGACTGAAAGTAATGACCTACTGTAGTGGTTGCCTGCCACTAGGCCTTGCTAAAGCTCTTGCACCACACTCAGCGGGGCCCTAAGGGAGGGAAAGGCCAGGGAAGAACAAGGTACAGCTTTCAGTAAGTACTCTGTTCCTGTGAAACACCTGAGAACATGCATGTAGGTCCTGTTGTCACACTCAGGCTCATGAAATCTGTCTCCAGGCTACCGAAGGCAGGAAGGTAGGAGGCCAGTTTATAACCAGAATGCTTTCCTGTGATCTCTTCCAAGAAGTCAGACACAAGTCACACTCATGATGTTATTTCAAACATATTTGTTGAGCACTTTCGATATGAAAGACATACTGTCCAGCACTGAGGTGCAGAGACAAATAAGAAAAGCTCTGCCCCCCCACCCCCAAAACTCACCTTTGACAATGGGAGAGAGAAAAACAAGGCAGGCCCCATAACTCGATGAGAAATGTGCTACCTCGGGCTGGGAGGGGAGGAGGGTAACGGAGGCTTCATGGAAAAGGAGATTCCTTCTCTGAGCCCTGAAGGCTCAGTCAGGGGTGCCTGTTGCACCAAGCAGGACAAAGAAGAGGGAAAGGAGTCTTCTAAAATAAAGGAACCCCACACGAGCCGCACAGAGCATGCAGGCCCTAGGTGCCAGGGAACTGCCAACAGCTGAGCAGTGGCGGGCTCATGTCAGAGCTTGCCCCAAGCTCCGGAAAGTCTTGGCCAGAGAGGGTGCTGGAGACAGAGGGGAAACAGAAGGGTGGAGACTGAGGAACTGGAGACCTGAAAGGGATCCGGCCAGGAGGCTGACACTCCATCATAAAGGGAAACAGTGGTGGAGAACCAAGATGGCTGAAGGCAGGTGGGAATAAGGGGGCTGGACTAGAGAGAACCATAGAAAAAGAACAGACTAGACTTGGTGACCAATGGGGGTGGGGGAGGGAGGGAGAGGGAAATCTGGGCTGAAAGCCAGTTTCAGGCTAAGACAACATGCTCAGTGTCCTCCTCCCTCCAATACACACAGAATCAGTCTTTCTGTCTCTCTGTGTCTCTGTCTCTGTCTCTGTCTTCTCTCTCTCACATACAGACACAAACACCTCTGCAGCTCTGGCTCCTTCCCACCTCAGCAGGCTAAACTCCAGGCCAGGTTTTCCCCACAGCCTGTGCAGGAAAGCAATTGTAAGAAGATCACTGTCTGGCCCTGGTTGGCCTTACCTTTCCCAAATAGGTGAAGAGCACAGCTTGCGGAGACAGCTCCCCATTGTGTAACTTCTGCACCAGCTGAGGCAAAGTCAGGGTCAGCAGTGCCTCTGAGTCCAGGTCAGGGTTCTGGAGAGACACCTCAGATCAGTACCGGAATTCCTGCAGGCCCCACATGCCTGCAGCAGACAGCTCTGGCCCACGCCCTCATACCCCCACACCTACTGAGCAGATGCTCACTGTCACATGCCAGTCCATCACAGACATGCCCACCCACAAATCTGAGGCTGTGACCCAGCCATGGCAAGCCCTTGCCACCTTGAACAGTACAAATATTGTCTCTTCACGAAGTTTCCTGGAGGGGATACCCAGGGAGAAGCCATGCTCAGGCTGATTTTTTTAAATAAATTAGAATTAATTAAAATAAAAAAACCTAGGCTCTGAGAAAGATGAAATGCCAAGTGTACACTGGGGGAAAATATTTGCAAACCCCATATCCAACCAGGGGTAGTGTCTGAATGCACAAAAACCCTCAAAAGGCAATAGTGAAAACAAACACTCCAGTTGCAAAATAGACAAAAGACATGAACAGGTGTTTCATTGAAGAGAATATACAGATGGCAAACAAGCAGATGACAAAATTAAAATCACTGAGATGTTATGACACATATACCAGAACACTTTAAACGAAATATATAAGAACAGTTCCAAGTGCTGGTGAGGATGTGGAGAAACCAGTCACCCTTGCATCAGTGGTGGTGATATAAAATGGTGTAGTTGCTCTAGAAAACAGCACGATAATTTCAAAAAATAAACAACAATAACAAAAACACACATTATTGCACATCCCAGCAACTCAACATCAGGATATTTATCTCAGAGAAATGAAAACTTGTGCCTTGAGGGGATATTCAGAATTTGCACATTACAAAGAGAGGTCTCACCAGCTGGGCTCCAGGAGGAAACCCCTGAACCATTGCAAAGCACCACCATCGATGGCTGCCTGCCGTGTGCCAGGTGCCGTGCTGGTATGCTCTATGTTTTGATTAAATCTACTACCATTCCCTTTGTACAGTAAAGAAACCGAGGCTCAGAGAGGGGAAGTGCCTTGCTTAGGACCATACAGGCAAACTCCAGTTCTCTGCCCACCCAGCACGGGCTGCCCGCTGGCTGTCCACCTGCACCTGACCACTCAGCCCTAACAAAGGAAAGTGAAAACAAGAAGATCCCACCCTGAATGATTAGGCTGCAGCAGAAAGCCACATACAAAGGAGGGTTTCTTTCATTCATTCCACAGATATGGTGCTTACTCTGTACCAGGTGCCACACTAAGCAGGGGGTTATAGCTGTGAACAAAGAAGGCGTATCCATGCTTTCCGGGGTTTACACAAGGCACAGATTAAGAGTGAGCAGATAACTAATAAGTAAACAAATAAGAATTTTGGACAGTGATTAATAACATAAAGAAAATAAAAACGGGTACAGGAAATGAGCAGCATCCAGGCAAAGGATGGTCAGGGAAGAGCTCTCTGAAGGACAGACATTTGATCAGATCCTCATGGCCAGGTTTCAAGGCTCCTAGAATCCCTGGGGTCAGCCCCTACCTGCAAACACCCAGCTACTTCCTCCTCAAGGTACTGGGCTGATTAGAAGACTGGGCTAGAGGAGATCTGAGTCATAGCCACTCATTCTCATCTCTGTGGTCTCCTGCTCTTGTCAAAGTCTCCAGGGGCTTGCTTGTTGCCAAATCCAACACAAACTTGACTTTGTTGTTTTTTTTTTGCTCCTTGTCTCACTGACTGTAGTCAGTGAGCTTTCTTCAGTTTTCCCCTGGGTCTGGAGATACTACCCTCCCTGATTTTCCTCCTGCCTTTCAGCTATTTCTGTCATTCACTTATTCAGTCAGTCAACAAAGCATCCACTATGAGCATCCACTATGTGTCAAGGACTATGTTATGGACTTTGAGTTTAAGAAATAACCAAGACAGGCAATTCTCTGCTTTCAGAAAGCTTACATTCAAGAAAACAATTAACAAGTAATGAACAGACCATGACAAGTGTGAGAAAGAAGAGTGCTGTGGTAGAAATAATCAGAGAACTGACTCAGATGACATGGGCAGGCCTCTCCCAGTAGGTGACATTTCAGCTGTGATTTGAAGGATGAGAAGGAGACAGACAGAGGTTCCTTGGGGTTCCCTCTGGGCACCTCTTCTTCCCTCTCTGATGCTGGGAGAAGTCATTCTTTCTGGCGGCCTCCTCTCCAGGCTCTCCACCTGCCCAAAGGCCTCCTGATCCTCCTCCCAGCCTGACCCAACTGACCTTAACTTCATTCCAAAGGCTTAACTTCTTTGTTGGTATAACCGCTTTGTTAGTTCAAATCAAGACATTACACTAGCACATCATGATGATATAGCACTTTGCTCTTCCCTGGATATTTTTTTAAAAAATATACAAAGTGATCCCTGGCTGGTGCAGCTGAATGGATTGAGCACTGGCCTGCGAACCAAAGGGTCACCTGTTCGGTTCCCAGTCAGGGCACATGCCTGGGTTGTGGGCCAGGTCCCCAGTTGTGGGCACTCGAGAGGCAACCACACATTGGTGTTTCTCTCCCTTCCATCCCCTCTCTCTAAAAATCAATAAATAAAGTCTTTTAATTAAAAAATATACAAAATGAAAAGTGAACATTCCCCCAACTCTGGGACCACCCTACCCAGTCCCTCTTCTTGGTGGGGGTGTGGCAGGGGGACCCAAAGTTAACAGTTTCTGATGAAACCTTACAGGAAAAAAAAGTTTATGAAAAACCCACAATGTATATAATTGTTGACCTATATTCTATTTTTGCACAAATGGATCATACTATACACACAGTACTACGCCTTGCCTTTCTCGCCTTACAATGAAAATAGCAAGATTGCTTTCCCCCCTGATTACATAAATAAGTGATTGTTGTTTTGTTTTGTTTTTTAAATGTCTAACAGTATGGCAAAGAAAGTAAAATCACCAGAGAGCCCAACACTGGGGTAATTACCACCGAGGGTCTGGTCGCCACCACTTCCTGCCTAGCTAACAAGGTGCCACAAAGTTCCTGTGCACTTCAACTACAAGCTAATAGCAAGCTCTCCTCAATCCTCAGTATAAATTTTTAATTCTTTCCTAATGTTCTTCCATGCTGAAAGTTGATGACACCTCTGCCAGCAACTACTTAAAAGTCTTCAACTAGTTACCAGGAAGCTGAGACATTTTCTCTTTCACAAGACACCAGAAGGAAGTCTGTTCCTCCAAAAGACTTGGGGGAAAATAACTTTGTAGGGAGAATGCAGGAAAGTGTACAGACAACTTCAAACCGAGTGTTTGGCCACTCTAATATGCACACTTTTTCAAAGGAAGGATACTATAGCTACCACTGAATCTGTGGACCAAAAAAAAAAAAAAAAAAGATTCTGTGGAACAGAACCTCAGAGGGTGAACTGATCGTAAATTCCTAAGTGGGCAGGTCATGGTGTGTAGTCATTTTCCAGTCCTACACAACTTCTTTAGTGAAAGGTTTTAGGCCAGCCTGTCCCTTGTTCTTGTGCATCCAGGTCAACACTCCTTTGAAATACCAGAAGTAATACCACTATAAGGGAGTATTAACCCTCAAGAGAGCACATAATCTTATTAACTGTCCTGTAATCCAATCCCTGATTTGCTTTCTCCAACCATCCTTAAGTCCCCTCCTTAATTTCAAATGCATAAAAGGACCTACAAAACTTTTATTCTTTAGAGCAGTGATTTTCCATCAGTGTGTCACAAGAATTTTTAAGTCACACAATACTTGACTATTTAGTCAGAAGCACTGACTCTTTTCCCTAGACTGTCAAATTTAAAAATGACAACAGCCAATACAATAATAGCCATCCTGTGTGAATGCCCTGTCTTGAACCATAAATATATAGGTCATGTAATTAGAGTTGCATCTTATTGGTCACTTCACATGATAATGTTTTATCTGATTGGTTAATTCTTGGTACCAGAAATTCTTATAGCCCTGGCCCGGTACCTCAGTTAGAGCATCCTCTGATTCTCTAAGTTTGTGGGTTCAGTTCCCGATCAGAGCACATACAAGAATCAACCAATGAATGCATAAATAAGTAGAACAAGAAATTGATGTTTCTCTCTCTCTCTCTAAAATCAATAAATCTTTAAAATATTTTTTGATTATGATATTACAGTTGTCCCAATTTTTCCCCTTTCCCCCCCTCTACCTGGTACCCCCATTCCCTCCAGCAATCCCCTCCCCATTTAGTTCATGTCCACGGGTCATGCATATAAGTTCTTCAGCTACTCCATTTCCTATACTGTTCTTAAGAACCCCTTGTCTATTTTGTACCTACCAATTTGTGCTTCTTAATCCTGGTACCTTTCCCCCCATTTTCCCCCTTCCTCCTCCCAACCAACAACCCTCCAAATGATCTCCATATCTATGATTCTGTACTTGTTCTGCTTGTTTGCTTAGTTTGTTATTGGGATTCAATTATTGATAGTTGTGATTTTATTGACATTTTAATGTTCATTGTTTTGATCTTCTTTTTCTTAAATAATTCCCTTTTAGCATTTCATATAATAACGTCTTGGTGATGATGAACTCCTTTAGTTTTGCCTTGTCTGGGAAGCCTTTTATCTGCCTTTCAATTCTAAATGTTAGCTTTGATAGATAGAGTAATCTAGGTTATAGGTCCTTGCCTTTCATGAGTTTGAATACTTCTTGCCAGTGTCTTCTAACCTGCAAAGTTTCTTTTAAGAAATCAGCTGACAGTCTTATGGGAACGCCTTTATAGGTAACTCTCTGCCTTTCTCTTGCTGCTTTTAAGATTCTCTCTTTATCTTTAACCTCTGGCATTTTAATTATGATGTGTCTTGATGTGGTCCTCTTTGCATCCATCTGGTTTGGGACTCTTTGTGCTTCCTGGACTTGTGTGTCTATTTCCTTCACCAAATTAGGGAAGTTTCCTTTCATTTTTTTTTTTTTTTTTTTTGCAAATAAGCTTTCAATTTCTTGCTCTTCCTCTTCTCCTTCTGGCACCCCTATGATTCAGATGTTGGTATGTTCAAAGACGTCCCAGAGGTTCCTAAGCCTATCCTCGTTTTTT